AAATTGTCCCTAGGTGTGAGTGAGAGAGTGAATGGTTGTTTGTCTCATTTGTCTCTATGTGGCCCTGTGATGGACTTGCGACCCGTCCAGGGTGTACCCCGCCCCTCGCACAGTGATTGCTGGACATGGGCACCGGCGACCCCCGTGACCCAAAATGGAATAAGCGGGTAAAGATAATGGATGGATGGATGGAAGATAAATTCAAATCCAATAAAAAAAAAATAATAATAAAAAATTTGAGCTACAGTACCTTCAAATTTCCAGGTCATAAAGAAGCAACTCTGCAAATTTATTCAGGGCTATGGAAAAAAAAAGTGTGACCACCAGTTTTTGTTGTTTGATACAAACATGGGAGTTGACAGAAAAGGACAAAAGAGCAATTTCACTAATTTATGCAGTGAGCAAAGATGGGACACAACTGACAGATGGCATTAGATTAATATTTGGTGCGGTTATTTAGAAACAGCTCCTCCTGCATCCTCCTGTCTTAACCTCAGTTTGGAAACAAGAAAGATGATGCAAAAAAGAAGCGTCTGTTCTGCTGAGGTGATGATGGCACACAAACACAGGAGTGCCAGTTTATGTCAGTGGAAAGTACATGAAAGCTTCCAGTCACCATAAATTGTGTTTTTTGTCCCAAAATAGTTGATACATGTATTTCTGTTTATTACATTTTCTTTCATTCATTGCAGTTGTGGGATGCATCACAAACAATGATGAGTCCAGCTACAGGCAGGAGGTGCAACACCTGGAGAGCTGGTGAAAGGAGAACAACCTTCACACCAATGTGAAGAATACAAAGGAGATGATCGTGGACTTCAGACAGAGAAAACTGAGGCGAGCTGGTCTGGGAAGCTCAGTCCTCACCTCCTTCTACAGGTGTGCAGTGGAGAGCATCCTGTGCTCCAGCATCAACGTGTGGCATGGAGGCTGCACAGCTGCAGAAAGAAAAGCTTTGCAGAGAGTGGTGAAGGCTGCACAGAAGACTGTTGGAGTCAGTCTCCCCACCATCACTGACATTTACACCTTCAGATGTAGTAAGAAGGCCACCTGCATCATGAAGGACCCCACTCACCCAGCACATAC